CAGCTGTGGCTGCACGCCCGCGTCAGGCGTGTGTTCGCTGTGGGTGGCCAGGAACTCACCAATGAGGCCCACCGTGAGCCATTGCTTCGCCCTCGTGGGGCGCTGGCGCTCCAGCGTCGGCGCCTGGCCCGTCGCCGCTGCATTTTGCTGTGCCTTCTGCGCGCCGTGCGGCGGTGGCGGCGGCGGCGCCGCCTCGTCTGGCTCCGGCGCGCCGCCGCCGCCGTCGGCCATGCGCGCCGCGCTCGCCTCGAGGGCGCGCCAGTCGACGTCGGCCAGACACGGCGGTTGCCACTCTGCCAGGCGGCGCGCATCGCCCGCCACGCTGGCGGGCGGCGCGACGAGGTCGGCATGCACGGCGCGCAGCGCCGCAAAGAGGGCGGCGCGCGAGGCGGGCGAGAGATAGGGGATGTGCCTGATGCGCTGGCCTGTTGTTGCCAATACACATTGGGGCAGCCCTCAGTAGGGCGTGCGGCAGAGAGAGAGAGAGAGAGAGAGAGGGAAAAGGGAGAACACACAACTCACCTTGGCCCTCGAGGCGTTCCAGCTTCGCATAGCTCTCCGTGGCGACGACGCGCCATTCGTACGTGCGCCGCAGCCACGCGGCCCACGCGGCGACGATGGCGGGCGGCACCAGGTCGGCCTTGGTGAGCACGAGGAGCGTGCGCCGCCGCCCGAAGCGCTGCAGGTAGGCGACGAGCGAGGGCGGCAGATGCAGAGGCGGACAGCGCGCGTCGAGCAGCACGCAGCTGGGAGGGAGAGAGGGGGGAGGCGGGAGAAACCGTGAGTTTCCGATTTGGGGGGGAGGGGGGGAGGAGAGCGATGTAAAAACCCCAGTAACCCCCCCGCCGCTTGGGCGACTGACTTGCTGCAACACACACACACACACACACACACACGCATCGCATCGCACATCACACACAACCAACTCACAGAATGTCGGAGCGCTCGCACACGCGCCACAGCTGGCGGAACACCTCGACGTTGCGTTCATACAAGCTGCCAATGACTTTTTGATTGGTTTGCACGCCGGGGGAGCGGGGGGGGGGGGGGCGAATGTCAGCAAAACGCAGCGTAGCGCATCGGCAGTGGCTGGCACATGCCGCCCCTTGCGCGCGCACGCCGCCGCCCACAACAACAAGCTCACCAGCCGTGCCCGCCTTGGGCGTCTGCCGCAGCACCTCGGCCGCGCCCAGCGCGCTGCGGCTCGGCGGCGGCGGCGGCAGGATGCGCGCAAAGGCGGCGCTTACGACGGCGTCGGAGTGCGCGAGCCACTGGCGGAACACCGATGCCTCGTTGGCCTCGACGGCGCGCTTGTCCAGCTCGGCGTGCCAGCGCGGCCGCCTGGGCACCCGCAGCTGCAAGTTGTCCTCGTCGCTCTCCTCCTCCCCGTCCAGCGGCGGCGGCGGCTCGAGGCGCGCCGAGGCAAAGCACGCCAGCGCAGGCGCCACGGGCCGCGCGAGGGGCGCATAGGTGGCGAGCAGCGCCAGCTGCGCCAGGCGGTCGGCGCCGAGCTTGGCAAACGCCGACTCTTCGGCCTGCACGGTGCGGCGCCGTTCTGCGGGCAGCGAGGCGAGCCGCGTGCGTGCGGCGTCGGCGGCGGCGGCGGCGGAAGGGGCGCCGCCGCCACGCCCGCCGGCGACGAGGAGCGGCGCGGGCGAGGCGGGCGCGCTGTCGCCGGGTCGACGACGCCGTGAGGGCGTGCCGGCGGCGACGGGACGCCGACTGCGCTTGCCCATTCGTTACGCGCGAAAGCGGGTGAGCCCAGCCGGGAGAGCGGGCGCTGAGACCGGGACTACTCTGCAGCGAGTGTGAGCGAACGGCCTGTTGTGTCTTGGCTCTCGGTGCTGAGTGGCTTGCTGGCTGCTTTGTGCGTGATGGGGTGAGGGAGGCAAGAAGAAGCGGCCGCCGCGAGCAGGAAGCACAGAAGAGCGCTCGCTCCCACGCTCGCCGCCGCGCGGCGCCTCCACCTCGAGATGGCCTCTCGCGCCGCCCGCTCCGCTTGCTGTTGCTTCCCGCCCACATGCTCCGCCGCCGTCGCGTGCGCCTCCGTCGCCCCGCGCACAAGGGCATGCGAGCCGGCTTCTCTCTCTCTCTCTCTGAGCCTTGAACAACTGCTAGCCCGGCCTCTACTAGCCCACGCTTCCTTCGCCACGTCTACCCCACCGCCTCTGCGCGCATTATGGCCGCCGTAGACCCCGCGTGCGCTGCGGCGCAAGACGGCACGTACGCCTGCTTCTTCTACGGCACGCTCAGTGAGTTGCGCAAGTTGTGAGAGGGGAGATGGGGGCCCGCCTCTTGGCGCCCTCCCGTGTGTACCTGCACACACACGTCGGCCCAGAATTGAGCGTGTGTTTGCCCCCCCCTCCCTACGACGGCAGTGCACCCACAGGTCCTCGCGCGCATCCTCGCCTGCGCCGACGGCGGAGCGCATCTCGGCGTGCAAGTGGCCCTGCTGCCCTCGTACGTGGCGCATCGCGTCTCGCACGCCGAGTATCCGGGCCTTGCCCCTTGCCGCACCGCCACCGCCGCAAGCGCCGCAAGCAGCGCGGCAGCCAGCTGCGTGCGCGGCGTCGTCGTGCGTGGCCTCACGGCGCACGACGTGGCGGCGCTGGATGCGTTCGAGGGCGACGAGTATGTGCGTGCGCCCGTGCAGGCGCTCGTGCTAGGCGCGCCCGTGCCCAACTCGCTGCGCGTGGCGCGCGACTTGCCGCATCTCTTTGCGCACCTGTCGCCGGAGCGCATCGCGCGCCTGCTGCAGCAGCAAGGCGAGCAGCGGGGAGAGGAGAGCATGGTGAGGAGGGAGACGGTGCAGACGTACCTCTGGCGCGACGGCGAGGGATTGCTCGAGCAGGAATGGCGCTGGGAACACTTCGTCGACGCGCACGCACGGCGCTGGGTGAGCGGCGAACGCAACTGAAGTAGGCGGGTAGCGGCGGGGCGGGAGGGGGGGGGGGGGGGGGGGGGGGGGGCGGATGTTGGATGCAAAGTGTCACGAAGAGGGGCACGGCAGAAATACTCATGGCGCATCCGATGTTACTTGACTCTCCCTCTTTCTCTTCAAGAATGACACGTCTGTGAGAGGGAGGAACACTGAGCTCCAGCTTGCACCGCTGCAGGGGCGCAGGAGATGGGGGGGGGGGGCGAGAGAGAGAGAGAGCGGCGAGGGGCGAATACAGAAATTGGCCGGCGTGTTGTATTGAACCCGTCGCTGCGTTCAAAATGCCGCCTTTGTGGAGGCCCGCACGAGCCAGGCCGCAAAGGCAGCATCCGGCCTGGCCTGGCCTGGCTCGCTTCCTCTTCTCTTGCCGCTCCTCCATCTCCTCCACGCGCCCAGCCCAGCCAGCCAGCCGCACGCCCTTCCTCATCGTGTGGGCGCCGGCCACTTTCTCTCCCTCTCGCGCGCGACAGCTCGCTCGTGGGCTGGCTTGGGCTGCGCCGAGCCATGCCCGCGCACTCGGCGTCGGCTTCGGCGTCGTCGTCGCTGCACCCCTTGCACGCGCCGCCCTCCCTCCTCTCCACGCCCGCCTCGCAGCGCATCCCCGGCGTCGGGCTCTATCTCCACAACGTCAAGTCTCCGCCACACGCATCCGGGACTCTACTGCTGACGCGCACCGCCTTACTCTTCGTGCCCACGCCCCCACTGCCGCCCAGCGGCGGCCTCGAGGTGCCGCTGGCGCACATCCGCGCGAGCGAACACTATGCGGGCTTCCTGAGCAGCAGCGCAAAGGTGACGCTGCGCCTCGCTCCGCCGCCACCGCCGACGCCAGCCGATGGCAGCAGTGCTGCGGCGCCTCGCACGCAGCCCACCGGCTCCGCAGCCGCAGCCGCAGCCGCAGCCGCGTCGGCGGCGCTCCCTCCAGCAGCACGAGACACAGACACGCAGCAATGGCTCTGCGCCATCTGTGCCTTTGCCAACAGCGCCGGCTCCACATGCGCGCTGTGCGGCGTCGCACGTCCCTCTGGCGCCTCTGCCGGGCACGCACGCCAGCAGACCAGTGCGCCGCGCTCTGCCTTTGCCTCTGTCTCTGTCTCTGCCTCTGTCTCTGCCTCTGTGCCGCCAGCAGCTGCTGCCGCTGCTGCTGCCACGGCGACGCCGACGGCGGATGCAGGCGGCCTCTGCGGCGTGTGTACGTTTGCGAACCACCCGTCGTTGCGCGCATGCGAGATGTGCGGCGCGCCGCTCGTCGATGGCCACAGCAGCAGCGGCGGCGGCGGCGGCGGCGGCGGCAGCGGCAGCGGCAGGCACGGCGCAGGCGGCGCCGCCGCGGCCGAGGGCGTGGAGGCGGAGCAGGAGCAGGAGCAGCAGCAGGGCCAAGAAGAGACGACACTGCGCATCGCCTTTCGCCAAGGGCGCGACCGCGGCTTCTACAAGGCGCTGCAGGAGGCACTCAGGCGACGCACGTGGGAAGAACAGCCGGATGCGGGCGAGGTGAGTGTTTTGCTGGCGGTCC